CCACCCCTGCAAGCAGACAGCGCCGTGAAGCTCTAGCACACACTTGAACCTCAGATCCGTTCCGAATTTCAGTCTTTGTCCTATCCAGCCTATCCTGCCCAACCTTGGCTTGCTGTGCCGAGGTCCCCGACCACCAGCACCACCGCCGCCACCGCCGTCGCCACAGAAATCCATTCACTTCCTGTCACGTAAAGAGACACGGTTCTTGGGTTTTCCGCTTGAACATCTGCCTGCGCCTTCAAGTAACGTTCACATCGCCTAATTAGGCGCCGCCCTTCCATCCGCTTCATCACCAGGCCCGCTTGAATGCCGTCACACCGCCGCCTTGCTTTTGCGCTTCCACACCACCGCATGCGAGCAGCCCCACTGGTACTTGCGTGCGTGCTCCCGAATGAGGAACGGAACATCCTCTTGTGCTACCAACTCGAAGTCAGGAGATAGTACGGCGGAGATCGTATCGGCAGTTCGTACGGGCTGACCGTCCTGCGGATCAGCAGCACCAGCATCAGGAGCGGCATCAGGACTCTCTGGACCACTGGCCCACAGCCCAGGGTTGTTCTTATCCTCATCAACACACCACCAAGGCGCCAGTATCAGGCGCCTTAGATAAGTGGACAATGAACAGTTGGTTTCGGCGCACGCTGTGAGAAAGTACCGTACAATACGGCAATGGCCGGGGCGGCTCGCAAGAGTGCTTGTGGAAAGGACACAGGATGGAACCTAAGACAAAAGGTCCGGTTGCTTTCGATAGAGCCCCAAAGGATTGTAACCTTGCCACCATTGGTGGGTTCTTCCCCTAAGAGGAACACCCAAAGTCTCTTCTTCGTTTTCTTCGTCCCCTTTCGTTCATTCCCGAAGGGGAGCCAAAGGGGAACACCCGAAGGGGAGACGAAGGGTGGACGAAGGGGAAGAACACTAAAGGGGAAGATGACTTTGGGGTTCCCCTTTAGGGAATGAAGAACGAAGGGGCTACCAACGGCCCGCTACTGCCGTTGGTAACACCGCACCTTGTAGTAGCCGCCCAGCCATTTGGATTGGTCCGTCCATCCCTTGAGCCAGGAATACGGCGATACCAGCACCAGCACTCCCCCGTGCTTTATGAGTGTACGGCAACGGCTCAGGAATGCCATTGGCTCTGGCAGCCGACACAGCAGATTGGCGGCCAGAACGCAATCCATTTGGGCTAGGTTGGCCGGCAGGGCGCAAGCATCGCCCTGCATGTGACGTGGTGACGACGTTGAGGGGGGGGGCCGTGTGGGTTGTGTGTAGGTGTTGCGCGAGGGGGTTGCGGCGTGGGGGAACCGGCAGCGCAGGGAAATCTTCAACAGTTCGCAACAGTTCGCAAGCAGCTGTAAAGTCTTTCCTCCGTATCGGTGTCCTCATTTCGGAGCGGCCTCAAAAGTCTCAGACGGAGGAAGAGGGGAAGTCCATCCGAGCGCGGGGGCTCTGTCTCTTGGTGGGCGGGAGTAGCTCTCCAGGCCGCGAATGTGTTTGTGTGTGCGGTGTGCGTGTCCGGGAAAGCGCATGTATTTCATGATCTGGGCTGCGAGTCTATGTGAGATAGATAGATAGATAGACAGATAGATAGATAGACGGATAGATAGATAGATAGGTAAAAGCCGGGATGATCTGCACCGGGAGGAGCCCGTTCCTCTCCCCCCCCACCACACCTCCTCGACCTCCACCTCTCACCTGCATGAACCTGACTCTGTTGCGGTCAATGTCAGAGGGCACCGCCGCAATGAGCCGCTGCTTGATGTCCCCCTCCACCACCGACTCAAACTCGCACACGCCGCGGGCCTTCATCATCTGCAAAGGGCGGGTGGTCCAGTGGGGGGAAGAGGCCGGGACAGGAAAGAATGTGCCGTCGACAAATCCACCACCACACATACGCAACGGATCGCAACGGATAACAGCACAATTACGTACATGCATACAATAGATACATAATACATACATAACACATACATACATACATACATACATGCAGCCATACATACATACATGCAGCCATACATACATACATGCAGCCATACATGCCTAATACACGCAGCCATCCATTTCCTACCCCATAGGAATCTGCCCTAAGGCACCTAAGCATGCCACCCCACTAATCCGTAACTCTTCCAACCCCACACAACCCTCCGTTCCGCTGGCACGAAAGTGATTCCTTCAAATAGATATTGCCGTACTGCCGTACACGCACGCACTGACAGGAACCAGCACAACCGCTTTCTTTTCCCCCACTTCCTCTCTCCCTCTCGTTCTTTCCCTCCCTCCCAACCCCATATGCACATACATACACACACTCCCTCTCTCTCTTGCACACCTCCGCAGCGTCCACGAAGTGCTTCGAGTAGTCGATCCCCAGAACGTGAACGAAAGAGCGGGCCAGTTCGAAGCTGGCACCGCCCACAGCACACCCCAGGTCCAGTGCCACGGGCTCCTCCCGCTCGCCAGTGAAGTCCCGCAGAGCCTCACAGTGCCTCTCACATAGCGCGGCGAGACGAGCTGTGAAGGAGAGCGCCTCCTGCGTGGATAGCGGGGGCGGTGTGGATCGGTCTGGGTCAGCGTGGGGGTGGGGGGGTGGATAAGGCAGGGTGTTTTTTGTGCGTGTCAATTGAAAAGTGCGTTTGTCCGGGGAAGTGGAAACGACAAAGGGGGAACGACAGATTGAGGATTTAGCCCAGAGATAAGAGTTCCGGGAAAGGCTTTGGCTTTGGCTTTCCGAGCCACGAGAGACGCCGTCAGCTTTTGAGGGGATCTGCCGTACATTGACGTGTGTCGTAATATGTCATTATGAGAGGCAATTGAAGGGGACAGGGTGCGGCCTGTGCGTGTGAGCATTATGGGTGTGTCAGATGCATGTATGTGTGCGTTAGAGTGAAAAGGGGGTAGATGTAAGCATCGGCTAGAGGTTTACCTTGGGGCCGTCCGGATAGGGGAGGAGGTCTGCAGGGGCCGCGAAGTGGAATTGGAGGTACTCTACGGGCCCGGGGAGGGGAGGGGTTTTAGGCGCGGTATTTGCGGCATTCCGCACGGGCGCAGATGCACGGGCATGCAACTATAAATGTTGTCGCGTGAGGGGGAAACGCACCATCTACGGCCTTTCTGGTCTCGTATGCTGCAGCGCCGCCGCCAGCACTCGAGGTGGTCGAGCGCTCCTGAATATCATCGCCCTTGCCATCGCTTGCCTTTCGGTGAATTTTAAGTAGCAATTTTTGAGCAAACAATGTCATCGCGACACCTGTGCCGGCTGCTAAGACGACTGCCATTGTCCACCTTCGGTTTTTCGAAAATTGCACAGACGAATAAACAACACAAAGATCCTAATATATGTTTTGCGCTTGAGGTATTAAAATCGGCATGAAAATTGTTAGCATTGGTACGCAGAAATAAGTTAGTTAGTCGGTTGCACTCTCGTCCAACGAGTTCTGTGGTCGAACATCATTTGTAAGCAGCGACGGCAACATCTCATTTCTTTCGGTGTAGAAAAACCTGATATGGGTGCTATGGAGTTCTGCTTATGGTTTCGTGATTAATATTACAGGTAGTGCGTCTACGACGTGGCTGTGATGGAGTGACTGGTGGCCGTGTAAGGATCCGGGGAAATGAATGGGTAGGGCAGCAGCAGGAGCTTTGGGTGCAAGGGAAAGGGCGCAGAGGACGGACACGGGCAGATTTCATGAGAGCGTCGAGATGGCCGGAAGGAAGGCAGGTGTTGGGCGCGGTGCGATGCTGCCCGCTGTTGGCGTGCTGGTAAATGGTACAGCGGGGTTTCCCACACCAAGTTTTACGACAGGTCGCAGAGTCCCTCTCCAACCCCGAAGGGGCCGGATGGGGGACACCACTCCTCCGTTTTCTATGTTTTTTGGGGCACGACGTATGGAAAGAGGCCCCGCAAGGGCTACACGAGGTAGACGAACGAGTGGAGTGGCTGATGAACAGGCCAATGCCAGAAGGTGTGGTTTTGGAGTTCAAGGACCGATTAGCGAGTGGTTGGAAGCATACGCGTTTAGATGTCCAGCCTGACGTGTACCCGTCAGACGGCAAGCAACCAGGAGTTCACATGGCGAAGTATAAGCATTGGATGGGGCTGGCGGCCGAGCAAGCGGGCAGGAAGGAGGTGCTCCCGCATATCGCAATGTTTATCCCGCGTTCAGCGAACCGCAAGCTTATGCAGTTTAGGCTTTGCTGTTGGGCATTGGCGGCTAACAGAGCGCATAAGGGACGGCGTTATACACCTAGGGAGGAGCGAGTATGCCCTTGCTGCGGCACTGATAGCCATATCGAGGACGAGAAGCACATTTTGATGGACTGTCCGGTGTACAACAAAACCAGATCTGATATGGGTTTCCCACGCTTCGAGCATATGAAGGACGCTATGAAGTGGGAACGTGAACGCCTGGCAAGGATGCTGGAACGCATATGGTCCCACCGCAACTCTATCGTTCCCTTTGGTCGTTAGTATCCTTCATTACTTGTTTCGTTGGAAGTGCGAGGTAGGATGGTGCTTATAGGCGAATTGGCAGCCCTTGAGCCCTCGGCTCGTATTAGGGTGGTTTGCAGGTACGGGGAACGCACCCACGACCATGTAACAACAACGACAGGGTGCCTTAGGGTGCCCCTCTAGCCAGGGGAGAGCAGGGAATTGCCTCGGGAAGGAGGCCACTGGTGATGCTATACCACCCTATAACAACATCAACAACAACATGCTGGTACAGCGGAGCAGAGAGCCAGGCGGATATTTAGCAGGCAGAACAATGGGCGCTACTTAAGGTTTCGTTGCATAAGAGGTGCAGCAATATAGACACTTCTGGATAAGTATGGGACTCGCTCATGGCCCAGAACACGCGTTCTTCATACTGTAGCTGTATGGACAGCAACAACATGGTCACAAACACCACCAGAACCTTCCCCAATCTTCCAACATTGCCTTGGTGGTGTTGAAAAACACCGGATTGTAAGTTGCAGGTCCGAAGGGCCTTGGCTAAAGCCGTCTAACCACCGAAGCCGTACAGGGTGCGGCCCTGGCGCTTGAGCGCGTAAACCACGTCCATGGCCGTGACGGTCTTGCGACGAGCGTGCTCGGTGTAGGTGACCGAATCACGAATGACGTTCTCCAGGAAGTTCTTGAGGACCGTGCGGGTCTCCTCGTAAATGAGGCCGCTGATGCGCTTAACGCCACCACGCCGAGCCAGGCGGCGGATGGCAGGCTTCGTGATGCCCTGGATGTTATCACGTAGAACCTTGCGGTGACGTTTAGCGCCACCCTTGCCCAAGCCCTTGCCACCCTTGCCGCGACCAGACATTGTCCCGGAAGACCTTTGAAAATACGAGGTTAGCAAGGGATATGTATTGAGCTGTTACTAAGAACTGTCTAAGAAATGTCTTGCAATAGATTTTATACTGAATTGCCGTGCAGCCACCGTTGGCAATTGTGCAATTGTGGGGTCGGCTCAGCGGGGCAACGGCTGCCGTGCAGCGCCGTATAACCGCTTGGGCGGAAAACAAAAAGAGCTATGTGCCTCTACAATATACAGTCGAAGCAAATTTCTGACACCACAGTTCCAGCATTCAGCAAGATGGCCCGCACTAAGCAAACTGCTCGCAAGTCGACCGGCGGCAAGGCGCCCCGCAAGCAGCTGGCTACTAAGGCCGCACGTAAGACGCCCGCCACTGGAGGCGTGAAGAAGCCTCACCGCTACAGGCCCGGAACCGGTAAGAGACTGTAGGAGACCCTGAGAGACTGTGACAGGACGTCGATTCTCGGCTGACGGTCAACCCAGGTTCCTCGCTCGATGCGGCTGAAATAACTGCAATTCTTCCAGTTCTATGTCTAACCTATTGGGTCACGGCCCGCACATTTTTGGACGTTCTACATGTTTTTGTCTACCATTCCTTCTGGTGCCTTTTTTTTGGTTCTCACGGGCATTTCTCACCTCTTGTTTGGCCCGTTACATCTTCCCTACAGTCGCTCTGCGCGAAATCCGCAAGTACCAGAAGAGCACGGAGCTCCTCATCCGCAAGCTCCCCTTCCAGCGGCTGGTGCGTGAGATCGCTCAGGACTTCAAGACCGACCTCCGCTTCCAGAGCCAGGCGGTGCTGGCGCTGCAGGAGGCTGCCGAGGCCTACCTGGTGGGCCTGTTCGAGGACACCAACTTGTGCGCTATCCACGCCAAGCGCGTCACCATCATGCCCAAGGACATCCAGCTGGCTCGCCGCATCCGTGGCGAGCGCGCTTAAGAGGTGCCCAGGCTTGGAGCAATCCAAAGCAAAACAAAACCCGGTGTTTTTCAACACCACCATCAATTTGAATGCCTCTGGGTCCCCCGACTACCGCTGTGTCTGGTAGCCTGTCACAGGTGGGGTCCTTACCCATACAGTCCAGATGGTTGCGTCTGTATTCAGTGTCGTGGCTAGTTACGTTGCAACGTTGTTGTGTTACTAGCTACTGTGCCAATTGCATTTTCTGCAGCGAGCCTGCAAAGCGCAGGCATCTTAAAACCTCACACTACTTTGGGAGGTCAGCGGAGTGCCACAATCTGCCAACGGAGTGTCGTCTAAATTTGGTCGCGAAGCACCCGATTGTGTTAACGCTGCAAACGGCGGTCCGCTGAAATGAATTTGCGTGGAGTCGATGTGTTATCCGTTGCCAACTGTTTTAAGTCGCTATCATTCCGGCGCAAAACGCGGAAGGTTAAAGATTGACTGCCCGCGTGAGGTGATTGAATATATTTAGTTCAGTTACAAAATTTGGGCTAACCGGAGCCCTGAAATTTGGTACTCGAAACGATTGTGAGCGCGCCATGTGTAGTTTCCTCGCCGGCACGTCCTACCTCCCCAGTCGTTAGCTTTTAAACCTCAACATCGCCACAAGGGAAACGTGATCGGAGGGAAAGACCTCGTTGGGGATGGGCGGAAACGCCACATCCGACAGCGGATCACGTACGGCACCGTACGGCATGTCGTACGGCATGCCGAGTGTCTCAGTCACATCAAAGTGCTGTGGCGACACGAATATGTAGTCCAGGCAGCCGGCGAAGGTGGCGGTGCGAGTGGTGAGGGGCGGGTCCCTGCAGGAGTGCAACCCCCGCGGAACGGCGAAGGTGCGAAGTGGAGGTGTTAATGTCATACTGCGTTTTTGGTAGGTGCGGGCTGCCATACGGACACGGGAGAACACGGGAGAACACGAGTTTGGGGAGTACCGCCGCCCGCCATACCACCGCTCACGGACACCGCCGCTGCTACCGCCACCTCACCTGCCGTTCGCCAGGCAGTAAGCTGAGGCCAGTTTGAAGCCGGCAGTGGTGAGCTCCACTCCTCGGAAATCCGGATTGCTCGTTTCCCCGGGTCGGCGACGGGATGCAGGGTGATCGGGGTGGTGGGGGGAAAGTGACCCGCGGGTCAGTAGGGTGTAGACACCGCTGACCAGGCCGTCACGGCCACGAGGGATCTGGAGATCGACATCGGGAAGGACGGGGGGAGGCGTGCTTCAGGAGAAGTGACATGGACGTGAGGGGGGAAGGGGTTGATGGAGGAGGGGACAGAGCTTAGAAGGAAAACGGGAAAGGGAGGTGGGACATGGAAATGTCGGGCGGGGCCCCTATCACGGCGTCAAGAGCCGGGTGGGCAAAGCCACGTGTGTGTTCATCTGTATGTAGATCGGGAGCGGAGGAAGGTTCTGTGGTAATAAACAGTGGACATTAGGGTGGCCGCATTTCGGGTTTCATCCGCACTCCCTCTCGACATGCCCGGGGGCCCCCCACACACACGTGCTCTCTCTCTCGACCTTCTTGAACCCTCGTCGATGATGCAAAGCATTCCACGTGCTCGCGACTATTTTATGAATTTACCTGCCTTAAAGCTAAACACGCCTGGGTTGCACGAAAGTGCTGTGTGCATCCGTACACGCGGGCCATTGCAGAAGTACCGTTACCCACGTCAACCACCAACCACCCAACTACCTTGGGATCGAACACGTCGGGCACTCGCTTGCGGCAGAGGCTGTTGAAGTCGCCCGCCAGCACCACAGACACGTCGTCGCTCGGGCCGGCGGGTCCAGGGGAAACCCCATCATGGCCACCACTAACAGTACCGCCACCACTGCCGCCGGCGTGTTGCCTCAGGAATGCTGCCATCTCCCCGCACAATACCGCCGCCTGCGCGCGTGTGCGTGTGCGTGTGATGCGAGGTATTGCACACACCGACATACCCCCGCGGACGGCTGCAGGCGGGAACGGCATGTGAGTCACGTACCGCGACCGCCCCGTGGCAGCTGAGGGCAGCGTTCTCCCCCTCCCCTCCCCTCCCCTCCCCTCCCCTCCCCTCCCCTCCCCTCCCCTCCCCTTTCTCCCGCCCCAGCCGAAATGGAGCCTCCTCGGGGTACCTCGATTGTGCGCCCCCTAGCTCCCCCCCTTTCCACATGCGGACGTTAGATGTCGATCCTTTGCTCCTTGCGGCGCCACCACTACCAGCACCACCACCACTACCAGCTGTCCCGTCCCTGTCAGTGTCCTCCCAGTGTCCTCGCATCCAGGTCGCCTGCAGCCGTATATGTATCCCATTCCCCAACCCCGCCCTCTGTCGCTCCCCCGGGGGCTGGGGGGGGGATGGATTTCCGCACCTGGAATGCCTTGACGTCCGGGTACGCGGGGTTCCAGAACAAGTGCGTCACCGCCGCCAGCACCCGCCGCTTCGTGCGTCGGTGCTTCAATAGAGCCATGATGGCGCCCTCCGGCCGGCGGGAGAACACACTCCAGAACTCGTTATTGCCGCGGGTCGCCTTTCTCGGACTGCTAGTGCTGCTACTGCTACTGCTACAGCTGGTGCTACTAATGCTACTGCTACCGCTGCTCCGCCCGAACGATTCTACAGCTCCTGCCGGTGCTGATAGTACAGTTGGTGCTGATGGTGCTGATGCTACTGCCAAGTTATTACTGTGCGCGCGTGTCGAGAGCCGTGTCGATCCATCTGCCGACAGCGCTAGCGCTCCCGTCGCTACAGCTGTCGTACCCCCCACCAGCTCCTCCACAGCGCGGGCCCGGACCGCCGCGACGCCGCCATCGGCTGTAGCTGCCCATACCTCCAAATCGGAATCCGCCTCCGAGTCAGCTGCGACTGTGGCTGCAGCAGTGCTGCCTGTAGCAGATGTAGCAGGTGCCGTGTCCGCAGCTATGGCATCGGCTGTAGCCGGTGTAGCCTCCACATCCTCCTCCCCGTCCGATGATGAGAGGCCGGGGGGAAGCAGCGGTGCGGGCGGGTTTGTGTCCGCTGAAGAAAAGGTGAAGGAGCGCTGCTGCAGCAGCTCAAACACGGAGGTCCGATAGAAGAGGGCGACGCCCTCCAGCGGGCCCTGGGGGTTGGCAGGCGGGGCGCGAGGGGGTCCGTCAGGTGGGCGGGTAGGTGAGGGGTAGGTGAGGCGTAGGTAGGTGGGTGGGTGGGTGGGTGGGCAGGTATAATGTGGTGACGTGCCAGGTGCAAAACGGAACGCGCGGAACCACCCACCCGGGCCTTCATGGCACCTGGATAGTCGAGTACGGTAGACGGAAGGGATTGCCTGCACCGTGCCAATCTACATAAACTAACTAACCAACCGACCTACCGACCGACCGACCGACCTGTACGTTCTCGCCGTACGCTCGTGCCAGGTAGTGGCCTCTGTAACCCCGTTCCGCGAGCCGGGGCTGCAGCTCCCGGGAAAACACATCCACCTCCACCTCCTGGCGGGCAGTGGTGGTGTTGGGGGGTGGGAGGGTGGGGCCAATGTATATGCAACGAAGTCAAGAGGGGAGAAGGACTGCCAACTGCCAACAACTTAAGTTGGATACTGGCGGAGTACAACAACCAGGGGGGAGGGGGGAAGGGAGGGAAGGGAGAGCAAGGGAGAGGTCGAGCTGTACGGCAGGCAGCAGCAGGTCGCAAGGGAAAAAGAAGGGGCGATGCCACGGGCGGGAAAGAGACGGTGGACGACAACCACAGCGCTGACACGTCATCACTCGCCTGAAGGCAGATGATGTCACTGTCGTACGTCTCTAGCTCCTGCAGCAGTAACGCTTTTCTGTACTTCCAGTTGAGGTAGCGGGATCGGCAGTAGTTGTGCCATCTGCGCGGAGGGCGCTGGGAATGTAAGAGCTGTGGAGGACGAAGCATCTGGTGTGTTCCTATCCCATCGCAAGCGGGGGCCTGTGGATCAGCAGTACCAGACCTGGAAGCACGCACCCGCTTTGTGCATACTTTTGCGCCAGAATATTGTACGTCATGACGCTAATGGAATGCTGGGGGGCGGAAGTTTTGCCGGCTGCTGCCATCACGGCAAGTGACGGCATTCGGCTGCGTCCAAGCCGTAGGCCGACGGTTGCCAAGGGCCGAGCTATCCGTTTGTTGAGCCTGAAAGCTGTCATGCTACTTATGTAAGCATACCCATTGACTGCATTAAGCGATGGATGTAACCTGTCCTGTGGACGTATATAACATGTTATCATGAACGGGCCACGTCCGAGCTGCCCTAGACTGAAGCCCTGCCCATCCCGTATGGCGAAAACGCTAGATTCAGGTATCAAAATGTAAGGACGACTCAAGGCTATTCTCCGTTGGGTTTGCTCCGAATCTTTACCGTTAGTTGAAACCGTGAACCCTCTAGGTTTTGCCATACACAACCTTTCTTCATTGTAAGGGCAGCTAGCACGGACATTGTAACTTGTATGCCTTACGTGTCGTATGTTGCCTTCTTGGAGGGGTTAGCAGCTTGTGTCGCTCTGCGACGATGACTGTGACAGGGGATTCTGGTTCCGCAGATCAACTTATTTCACAGAAGGTTCACGCAGTGCTCGAAGAGCTAAAGCATCTTAGCGACCTAACGCAGGAGGAACTTGATTGGTGTGATGCGACTACCGTCAAGCGCTACCTGCGAGCACGCAATGGTCATGTACATAAGGCTGCGCGCATGCTCCACGGGACACTGAAATGGCGCCAGGAGTTTGGTGTTGGTGAGGAAAGCAGCTTATGTTGAGCTGACCTGGCGGCAGTCGGATAGCGCACCTGACTTCCGACCGTTCTATCGTTGACTCCATCCTCTCTCTGCCTTCGTTTCTCACACTCTTTTACCATCACAACTCTTGATTGCTCCACACGCGCTTGCGGGTTGCGGGTAACACTTCTGCTCTTGCATTCCCGCGGTGGGTCCCTTGGGGCCGCAGGCACCCTCCGTTTGGATGAGTTCCGGGGTGGCCGCCAACTCGGCAGCGGCCGCATGTACACCGCTGGGAATGACCCCGCCGGACGCAGCATACTGGTGAGTAGTTTGAAATTTGTTAGGCCTGGGGTCCATCGTCTTCAACACGAGGAAACCACCCATACCTCCCTGGAGCATTCCATTTTACGTCCCTGTACTATTAGCTCCAGCAGGCGGGGCACCCGCTCAACCAGTCACGTTGGTTCAGGGGCTCTGGGGTGGCTGCCCCCGTCACCCGTGCTGTGTGGCTGCCCTGGCCCTGGCCCTACCCTGGCTCTATCCTGCCCTACCCTGGCCCTGCCCTGCCCCTGCGCCACCGCCCTGGTCCTGGGTCCTGTGCCGCACCCTGTTGCCCCTTGGTGCCAGGTCACCCGCAAGCGCTCCGACGCGTTCCAGGCCGGCGAGCATTCGGCCTACCTGCGCTTTCTCGTGTTTACGTTGGAGACATGCGTGAGAGCCATGAAGGGCGGTCAGGAGAAGTGGTGAGCTGGGCGGAGCTGAACTGACCTGAGCTGGGCATGCCAGGGCGAGGCAGGGTAGAGTAGGGTAGGGTAGGGTAGGGTAGGGTAGAGGAGGGTAGGGTAGGGTAGGGTAGGGTAGGGCGACCAGCAGGTTTCTGACGCTTCGTGTACTGCTTGTTTTGTGTCTTCCTTCCCCACCGGACAGACACCGACACTCTCTCCCTGGTCGTTTTCCGCCCCTCCGTCTCCTCTTCACTGTACCGGTGCCGTACTATCCCCGTTCAGGGTTTGGCTAATGGACATGCGAGGCTACAGCCGGGCCAACTCCCCGCCGATAAGTGGGTGGTCGGGGGCGTGGGAGGGCGGTTCGGGTGGGGTGCACGTCCGTTGCAATCGCCACGGCAGGGCGGCCCAAACAACCATTGTGCTCCTCTTTCCTCCCCCAAAAACGGTTATTACCGCCTTCTGTCCTCCCCTCGCTCTCCGCTGCCGCACTACACCAAGGGGCCCCGGCACGTCTCCCTCCCAAGCCTCCTTCCAAATGGTTTTCCGCCTCCAATCCCTTCCACCCTTCCAAGCCCCTTGCCTCTTCCCTTCGTACCCGGACACCCGCAACCATTTAGATGTCGCCATGGCCACACTGCGCATTCTGTCGGACCACTTCCCGGTATGGTAGGGCCATGTGTGAATGTGGGGGGAGGGTGATATGGGTGAGAGAGTGAGGTCGGCGGCCGCAAAAGAGGTGCAATGAGCAATATGCCGCCATCCAACAGCCATTTCACCTTGTGACCCCTAGTCCGTGACTTGCATCCGTCACCCCCGGAGTGACGTTGTCGTACGCATTTAGGTCATCACTTGCAGCGGGGTGCACCCGCAACCACACGCTGATGTCCCCCCCCCCCCCAGGAGCGTCTGCACCGCTGCTTCTTCATCGACGCACCGTCCCTCTTCAGCTTCTTGTTCAGCGCGCTGTGGCCCTTCGTCGACCCCGTCACGCGGCAAAAGATCGTGTTTGTGGCCTCGAAGGATTACGCCAAGCAGATTGAGGCGGTGGAGGCGGCGGGCTCGGATGAAGGGCAGCGGGATGCGGCGCTGCGGGCAGCTGCTTGCGCCAAGGATCCCGACGCTTTCTGCAAGTAGGTGTTGACTGTTGAGGGCTTTGGGTTGTAGGACTTTGGCAATTTGAGCCGCCGGCCCTTGGCTGGGGGCCGCGGTGGTCGATGCTCGCCAGGGGCCGTCTCCCTATTTGGCTGTGTTCTGAGTTCTTGTCAGCGGTGAAGATCACCCTTTCATTCCGGCTGGTGTACACGCTAGATAGGGTAGCAGGCGCGCTCCGTTTCATTTGCGTCTCATTGCATCATCATACATGGTGATGCCGCATTCAGTCGCACGTCCTAGACATCGGTTGAAATGGGGGTTGCATACAGTGTGTGTCGTAGGTATCGTTTCTTGTGGAAAGCAGTATATATTTGAATGGCAATGATTATGATGTACGTGCGACAGGTGGCTGAGTAATGGTACGGCAGCAGTAAAAAATGAATGGTCTAGGTATGCCGAAGGGAGAATCGTCCCTTATGATAGAGAACGAATCGATTGGTGTTATATTCTGCTGCCGACACCTGTGGGGAGTCGCCCAGTCTCTCAGCAAAAAAAGGGGAGTGAGGGGAAGGCCAAGGCAACCTAACAGGAACATACAGCAGGGTGAAAAAAAATAAAAAGATGAGGTAAAGAACTCAACAGGTAAGCAAAGTTTGCAACTGTACGTCTTCGCCACATGGTGGCATTCCAGGAAACAGCAAAGGCATGTTCGCGGTGTTGTTTATTGGCGATCGCCGTTCCCAATATTGCCCGCGCACTTACCCAATCCATAACACCCGCCCCGTGTTTCCATTCCATACGTTAAAACATGGACCAGCTACCTTCGCTGGTACTGCACGCCGTACGATGAAGCATCGTACATGGCGCTACTGAACAGCTTGGGCTGGACGTGAAAGACGCCAACTTCATGTGAGCCAATGACCTCATCCTTATTCAGAGGAACACGAGGTGCAGCCGCCGCGCTGGTGAACAGGGCTATTTGCCTGTTGCTGTTGCTGTTGCTGTTGCTGTTTTTTGTGCTACGTTGGCTGCGGGTTGAGAAGCATTGTGCGGTACTGTTTGGGCACAGAGGTGTCGGCGCTGCAACGGGGGTCGCCATGGTCTCCCGGTGCTTAATGCATAAGCAGATTGTCGAACCACCCGATTCGAGTAACTATTTTTTTTATTTTAGCCCGCCATCTTGACGGTCGTTCTGTGGCGGCCTGTAACGCTATGTGTTGTGTAACAATACGTGTAGCTTTCCTTGTTGTGAAAAATGACTTCCAGTACTCTTTTTCCTTCGTCGTTCCTTATGCGTATAATTGCCGTTCTAGGTAATATGCTTGTGACGCCTCCGCAGCCATACGTACGATGCTTATGTTTGGAATCCAAAGTTGTAGGAACGCAAGGGGGAAATCTTCAGATGTGAAGTTATGCGAAGAGTAGCAGCATCATCATCATCATCGTCCTGGTATTGGTCTCGTTGATCCTTAGAGAACCCGCGCAATCGATCGAATGCATGGCACCGTAGCGTATTTTTATCTTGTTACATGTGTTTAACATCCAAAGAGATGAAGAGGCTTACCAGTTGAGTAGGAATGAGAACATTTGCAATTGGAAAATCTATTCATACGTCACTCGTCATCCCGCTGACGATGAACCGAGGAGTAGGACTGGCGGGTACAGCAGCCTGCGCGTGAGATAAGGATATGGTTTATGCTTTCTAAGGATTTGCTTGCTCGTGATGTGGTCATAGCATCATATAGATCCTTGTGGTGCTCAGCTGCAGTTGTGTATGTATGTTGTTACAGGGTGGTATAGCTTCACCAGCGGCCCCCTTTCCCGAGGCAGTTCCCTGCTCTCCCCTGCGAGAGGTGCACGGTGCACCGTGCACCCTAATCCATTTCACCCCATCCGATTTCAGAATGTATTCGTTGGATTCAGCAACTCAATACCAGCATCCAACCAAATCTAGCGGATCAACGGCGCCTCATCTTAGTTCCTGGTCAGCTCGCAAGTTGATATTATCACGTCCTACACCGTCCATACGATGGGGGGCCACCTCCCATTCCAACACCTCTCACACACCCGAGAGGTCGGCAGGCGGATTTGGGCCCGGACTCTCCGGGAGCAGAAGTCAGGCCTTAACCTCTGCCAGCCGCCTGCCTAATGTATGTATGTGAGGATGTTTTATGTGTATATATTTGAGGATGTTCTACTGTTCCACAGCTTTCTTTGGTGCCGGGCAGGCAAGCGGCTGGACAGGCAAGGATTTGTAACACTTACCCCAGTCTGAACCGTACGTATGGCTATCTATATATATCAACATAAGCATACATGAGTTACATGAAATTGAAGGCGCATATGTCGGTGACAAAAATGATGCACCCGGTGAGATTTGAACTCACGCAGCTTTCGCTATGGGAAAGCTCCTTCTCAAGGCTTGAGACCCACCCGTTAGACCACTCCGGCACAGGTGCTATTTCGCCGATAACCGGCAAGCCCGCAGATGTTAAACTTCATTTGCAAACTAAATATAATTTTTCAAAACAGCATTTATTCCGTTGCATGTACAAATCCGCCGCTGCAAAGCGGACTATCAATTTGAGACGTCACCTTGGGAAAGCAATTTGGATGGGTAGTAATAAAGGGCCATTTTATTAATGTGGATATAAACTATAATGGACTTGGATAAGGAGGATAAAGGTAGGTGGTCCGCTAGCTTAGGGCAACCCTATTAGCCGTCAACCACCACATACAATCCAGTCCCCCGCCCCGCGGAATAGGAAACTCCAAGACTACACGCACGGGGCTTATAACCCGGCGGCCAAGTTCTGCTAGGGCAGAGGATGGCCGCATCGGCGATCAACATTATGCCACGCGCCCGCCAAACTCCGCGTAGGATGCCTCGTGTGCACGTCATCTCAACAAAGCGATCCCTGAACGTACCGCTAAGGACCGAGGCGGGTTCAGCTACATGCGCCCTATACCAGAACCGTTGATGCAAGTGCATGGCACAGTGTCCTGCCCACCAGCGTGCCAGGGTATAATCAATGGAACAATTCCGTTGCTGCATCCTGGAACGGTAGTGCGTTGTTGAGTACATACGCGAACTCGCGAACACAACAGCTCCTTCCGTCAGCCTGCGTCCGCATCCTCCCATCTGTTCCCACACAGAGCGGCATATAACGAATCGCTCCATGCGGAACACTGGTTATGCGGATATCAAAAATTTCCATGACACAGGTATTCTCATCCGCCACCGCAGAGCCCCGCCAGGATAACCTGTGACGGTGTGGCCTTTTACGGCGATTTTATCAGGGCTCACGTCAATGCAATAAACCCATAAGTGCTCACGTGGTTGAGGTCGACCATCATTGTGTTTGTGGTGGCATGCTTCCGGTCGTTTTCACTCGGCGCCCCCAAGCTAAGCTCTGCCAACCGAGGAATTCGGCCCATAACCCGGTATCCTGCCTCGTTTCGTGGCCCTGCAGGAAATGCTGCGCCGATCAAATAAATATCTTCAGATCGACGTGCGGAAGACGTGAGCCACGCCCAACTCGGACCACCGATACAACATATGGCCGCTCCGCAAGGATTGCAGCAAGACATAACCAGGGGCACGCATTGCCCGAACACGCCTTGTGGAAAGACATTACTATCGTTAGCAAGAACCCGTCGGCGTGCTGCGCAAGGTTTTGCAGTCAGGTGCTTTGGGATAGACAAGGGCACTGCCAGGGCAAGGTCCCAAGTTCCTGACGCTGGCTGGCTGTGGACCCAGATCGCCAGGTTGCAGCCTGTTAGGAGGGCTTGACTCGGGAAAAGGACGACAGACCTCTTCCCATGTAAACCATGCAATAGAGCTTTGAGCTTATCCACCTCGGTCCATCAAACATGGTCTAGGGCAGACAATTGAGAGGCTGCTCGCTATTCATGGCCGGCACGCCCCGCAAACATTGTCTTACCAGGGACCCGCGGCTCCCTTCCACTTTTCGGTAGCCGAGTGGTGATGCGACCGTAACGGCCTAACCGGACGGTCAATCAAAGCAACAACGTAACCCTATACCTAAACCAGAGACGCATGGACCAGGGACAGTCATTGTTCAACCAAAACCCGTGGGTTGAGACCTCTTCGTTAACCATCAGCGGCTGGCGTATGGCCATACCAGACTCTATCAGAGCCGCGGGTAAAAGTTTCGTGGGTTTTCCCTCCTTGTCGTAGCATATGAATTGGGGCACAAGCGAGAAAGGATTCGAAGCACACGTTGGCGCAGGATGTTACGCGGGGCACATGCTGTAAATTGAAGAAGGAATGGCGAAATTAGCAACGCGCAAAAGCTATGTCGCTCGAGAGCGAACACGTACCTTATCGTGCCTTGCAGGGGGGCCAGCCAGGGTAGTTACAGTACCAAGCCGTAGCTTGGTATTAAACTGCCCAATTACACCATGGCAGGTACACAGCGCTGAAAAGCCTAAAATTTCATTAGACCTGGGTTTTAGTCAAATCGACAGAGATAGGTTTCCTAACCTTCTTCAGCAACTGGTTCAGCAACTGGGAAACACGATCCGTCGTACATTTGAGTTTACAAGTTTGTTTGACAGACATATTAATCAAAGGCTCTGCTGCAAAGCATAGCCACTTTCAGCTGTTCAGGCACCTTTTCATATCTTATCCTTGTGTATAACATTACGTAGCCATGTTGTCAAAGCGCGCCGGCCACGACTTGGAGAATGTTGATCCTAACACTGGCCTCGTCAGCACTGCAAGACTAAACGCTGGAAGGCCGATGCTTGGAGATATGAAGGAGATTTCTACGGTCCAAGAGACGCGCACCCCGTTTTTTGACATCACCTGGAAATGCCAGGTCTGTGCTCGAGGCCATTCTCAAAACTGTTTACTGGCACAGTACGTTGAAGTCGATGATTTTACTTATCAGGGAAACGAATGTGGTGTGGACGGTCGTGAAATATTTTCATTCGGGCAACCGGGTGGCAACGGGGCTGTCTACCAGGTAAACCGCGCATTTAATTAGTCGTAAAACATTACAGCGTTATCCTTACATTTTATCTCTTCAACCTATGCAGAGACCGGTTGTACCACCCACAGAAAAGGGCCCCAACCCACCTTTCTCCTCTTCACATGCGTGTAAGTGTCTGTCCTTTAATGTGACTGCCGTGCTCTATCGGAGATTCAGGAGCTGCTATCGTCACGCAGGTGCCCGTCACCCTTCTGGGTCCACAGCTTTGAGCTCGCTCCGTAAAATGCGGTGAACGAGGACCTATGTCAAGCTGCCCATTAAACGGGGCGTGCGGCAGCCTTTACAGCGGTCATTACCCGATTTTGTCGCTTTTGAAGTGACTTTCCATTAATCCAAGCTGCTGGGATGCAGCCATGTTAAGTATGCAACTATGCATCCGTGTTGGGGGCTACTTCATCGTCCCAGCCCTAGTTGCCCACCGCTAGCATTTTCTGCTGCGCGTCACCTTGGCGCGGTCTTGGACATGATATACTCCTCTGCGGCCTATGTAGTCTGTGGCCTAGGGTTACTGTACCACTTTGACTTCTAGCTCCTGGGCAGTGTGCTGAGGGCGCTAGATAGTATTGACCCTGATTGACCGGTCTGTACAAGTCGTCGAGTGATTTGCGTTTATGGGGTGTACAAAGGTATTGTGGGCATTAAAGCCAGGCTGCTTTTAAAGTTATTGGATGCTGCAAAACGAATGTCCGGGGTCGGCCCCTAGTGTGTTTGTTGGCTATGTAGGGCCGGTGGCAGTATGCACATCGACATGCAGCTGCCGTGTCCCGCCACAGTGTTTACTCTGTCCTGTTTTCTGTCGCAATGGAATCCCAATCAGACTATTTTCGTACAAATTTTCTCAAGAACGCGCTGGCTTCCCCCGCCAAGCGGGTTTATGTTGCTTCGGTCGTGCGTTTTGACGAAAGCGCCATTCCTTTCGTTCACGGCATCACCGGTGTAAATCGCTAGAAACCAAGTTTTGGGTTTATGCAGTACTCCTTACATCTGCTGCTTGTCGCGGGCATGGCACATATTGATAGGGTAACCTGCTAGACACCCTGGTGCAGTGACGTGGAGGTGCCGGCGGTTCTCTCGCCGTCGCATTCCAACTTCAGCTCGGCCCAGCTGCAGCTCTGCATGTCTGTCGAACATGGGGAACATGCATGTTGACAGAAGTACTAACACTGTGGATCAGCAGCATTCCTTATATAAGTTGTAAATGAGTTTCTTACCCCGGCACGAATGACTGCCTACCGCCTCACAGCAAGAGCTACCTCATTACATGCACATTGGTTCACGGTGAGGCTTACCTGCTTCCCAGACAGCAGCGCACACCGCGCGGAAATCCCCTTCTAAAGAAGCGCATCGTCAAGGCAAGGCCCTTGGCAGAGCTCCATAAGCCCCCCAGCTCAAGCTCATCACATATCCCGCCCCATTCCTGCACCAAAGCCCACGTGTAAAGAGGCTGTCTAGATTCAGGTCGTAGACGGCAGAGGCCGCTTGTCCGGCGGCACAAACGTTGTCGCCGCAGCGGCCAAGAACACCACTTTGTTGGAGTAATAATGCAGGTAGCGCCGCTCATCGGCGACCAGCTCCTTTAACCGGACGGCCGTGTAGCCGCTCTGACCCAGCAGTTCTGGCCATTCGGGCAGGGCCTTTGCCACTACACCGCCACTGGCAATACCGCTGTTCGTTTCCACCGCCGTGCCTTCCGCCGCCTTTGCAGGTCGATCCGTGAACAAGGCGGCGTGGTACTCACTCGCCAGCGTGTGTGTGAGGAGGCACAGCCAGAAGTAGCAAATGGTGAGGTGGAAGTCGGGTCCTTGTAGTGCGCGCAGGCCATCAAGCGCCACGTCACCCCCCCGTCGGCGACCATGGCGCTTCAGGCAGCAGTACACGGCGCGCAGCAGGCACTCGTGGTTCCAGCGGTCGAGACTGCGGCCCAGGAAGCGGTCCAGGAACTCAGCGTCGGTGAGAGGACCGGGCGCTTGGGATGCCGCCGATGTTGTCGTCCCCCGCCGCAGCGTGGAGAGGTCAGTGATGATGCTGGGAAGCGGCCGCTGGGACAGTCATCGCCACACATAGTAACGCAGGTAGGGGACCGGAGGGAAAGGCTGGAGATAAAGCTATATAGGTAAAGAAAGGAAAGCACCATTTGGGACGTGGGAGTGGGAGAGGGAAGCTGCAGTTGTACATGGGTATATGCAGGTCCGCAGAGCCAGATCATGGCTTGTTACCTATGTTCCGAGAGGTCTTAGGTTTCTGAGGCTCCTGAGACAATCCTAGGCTCGTAACCAATTAACGGTTGACACGCATATCTACATGTGCAGGGTGTTCCCCTGGAGAGTTAACCACCGTGAAGCCAAAACCCTAGTCAAGATGGTTCATGTAACGCCAAATCGACGGTCGTTCAAATCAGAGGAAGGAAAGCGGGCAAGGGCCTCCTTCGCGCGCTTGATGTTTCGTTTGGCTGGTATGGCTATCGTTACTTGATCGCCATCAGCGCGAGCTGCCCGGACTTCCCCGGCTTCCTCCGCCACCAAGGGCCTCACCTTGTCAGGCAGCACCACACGGATTCGGGACTCGGGTGACTGCGGGTACGGTTATGTAATAGCGCATGAGGCAATGAGGCCCAACGGTGTTGGTGGCGGGCAGCACTTAGTGTCGCTGTAAATACGCACCCAGCTCAGCGTGGCTACGGCACGCAATAAGCACTCACGACATGCAACGCCCCAAAACATGGTGCTGAAAACAAAGAAATTCACCCTTTCCATGCAGAATGAAATCGAACGGCAGGTGTAAAGCGGGGCGTCAAGAAGCGGCCGGGACCCAGTAAAGATAGTGTGAAGAGGCCCGTCTTCAAATCCATTTACTCCATTAACTCTCCCGGAGCCACCCCGCCCCACGCCGCCTCCCCCATTACCTGCAACATAAGCTGCTTGCTGTAGTAATGCAGGAACAGGCCGCCATTTGTGAGCTGCGGGTTCATCAGGAGGAACACCCGGAAGTCGGGCGATGCACCTGTGGGCCGCCAGACAGATCACGTCTACCAGTGAAGTGGAGGAAAACCAAAGGGTTGCAAGTTCAGTTTCGGAGGTGGCCTCCTCGTACCAAACTGGAGCGCTCCATGAAGAGAGAGCGATGATTAGAACCAATTACGTGTTCTCGGGGGGAGGAGATAGAGATAGAGATAGAGAGAGACTCACACGCATACGGACATACATAGACCTCGCCATTCCTTCAGCTCACGAAGACCAATAAACGTTTTCCGCCTTTTTGATCTGCGCTCGCACGTGGCCATTAAAGCTCGATCCGTGCGATGGACCTTGCCGCCGCACCTCAGCCCATGCAAGGCAGCCCTCCAAGGAGGAACCTTTCCCCCTTCCAAAGCCCCCTCCTTGCAGTACTGCAGTGCAGCCGTAGCGGCCCCAAACCTTCCACGGCGGTCCTTGACGGCGGGTCAAGGCCACCACATCACACCACAAGAAAAGCTCACCATATCCAACCTCTTCGTGCTGCTAGTGCTACTGTTCTCACACCAGACGTGCAGCCCCAGCATTCCCCCATGGAACCCACTTCCATGCGTCCCCACTTGTGAAGCGCGCGCACCCCCAATGACCGCATGATGTCGATGAGCACTCGAAGTCGTCTCCACAGCAAATGTGTTTCGGCAAATGGGTCCTGAACCATTAACGAATCCTTGTCTACAGATGGCGACCCATGATGTGTCCTGACCCACGGGTCGCTCATCTACCTTTCCTCCGCAGCCCCAGTCCCCCAACCCACTCGGACAGTCGAACCGCCCGCGACATCCTCACCCACCCGCCGGCACCTTCTGGCTGGCAATTGCGAAGTGCACCATGTGCGCCCAGAAGTACGTCATTGTCTCGTGGTAGGTGGTCCCGCTGCGGCGCGCAGTGAGGGGGCTGTGCTGGATGAAGGCGCGGATGGAGGCGTGGATGCGCGCCAGGCCCTCCCGCCTGCCCAACCGGGTGAGGTACAGCCACGCCAGCCGCAGGTGCGTCCGGTGGTCCCAGCAGTCCAGGCTGTAGTTCTCCAGCTTCTGCGAGGAAGGTATGATGACCAGGAGATTGCACAGTGCGAAAAGGAAATTGGTTATCATGTGCGCGGACGAGAGAGGCCGGTGGTAAAGGTGATAGCCACGGGCGGGTTGGTTTATGGAGGTTTATAACCCACATTAGGAAGGATTGAGTAGGCGGATACAAAAGGGAAGGATTGATGGTAGAGGTGCGCGGGAAGGGCGCCGGGAGGAGCATCTTAAGGGCGATTGGACGACCGGCTAGCCTCCCGTGTCCTCAACCAGAGGCATCTCCTCCCCGCCTCCTCCTCCTCCTCCTACACACACAGCGGCCCTACCATGAGGAACTCCTCATCCGGCTCGTCCTCCGCGCTCAGCCACCGCTCCAGCACATCCAGCTCACCACCACCACCGTTGGGCCCCCCATTGCCAGGGCCAGGACCAGACGAGGAGGTAGCAGCAGTAACAGAATGCTCAGCGGCGACACCGGCTGGTGGGGCAGCTGCCGCTACTGCATCGCCGCCGCTGTTGTCGCCGAGGCCTGGCTCCTGCTCTTGCTGCTGCTGGTTGTTGATGCTGGTGGTCGGGAATCTCTTCTGCTCCAGGGTGTGCCGTAGGGCGGAAGCCAGCCAATCAAAGTGGGCGTTGGTGAGCTGATTGGGGACGAGGCAGCAGCGGAAAGGGGAACGGCAGCGGGGGAGGGGACTTAAGGGGAGCTAGGAGCGGAGGAGAAGGGTCGGATCCTGGGGAAAGGCGTACGAGAAGTTAAACTGCCGCCCCAGTCCCGAAAGGGACAGTAGTCAGCTAAGTCAAGGCAATCGTATTTGCATCACCATGCGCGTGGCCTACCCCCCTCAACCCACCCCCACCGAAACACAGCCCCTGCCCTGAGCCCTTCCCCACCTGCATGCTGCCCAGCTGGCCCGGTAGACAGGTCCATAGCCGGGAACCCATGGCCCGAGGCAGCTGCAGCTTCTCCGAAACCTCGCGGGGTGGCATGGCGCAAGGCAGGTCCTGCTTGTTGGCAATGACCAGGCAGAAGGCGTCTCGCAGCTCGGGGGCATCCATTAGCGCCAAAACCTCCTTGCGAACCTGCCAGTAAGACGAAAACGCGCGGCGAGGAGTGAGGATGTAAGAACAAAGATGGCCAAGATTACAAGGGCGGCATGTCCTGTGCTGCGTCCACCTCGTGCGGCATTCCTGACACCTGGGGGTGGGGATGAGGATGCGAACGGGCCCAGGAGGCCTAATAAGGATGCAGTGCTGGATGGACAGCCCCCGGTTCGAACAAAACGATGGACAATGCCGTGCGTGCTTCCGTCGCGGCGATCCGCATCGCAGCACACCCAGAGGTGTGCTACTGCACGGATCGGCGCTGGAAGCACGTCTTTAGGTTATGAGTGCACCGTAACGCAGTTGGCACATAATGCACTACGAGCTGCCAGGAGGAGGAGGAGGAGTAGGAAGGGACTAGGAACGGGTTGTTGACTAGGATGTACCCTAATGAACTTGTGCGTTGCGAGTTGGAGCTGGCGAGGATGATGGCACACGTGAGCAGCTTTATCTGCGTTGCATGTGGCGGTTATGGCGGCCCCCTACGTGACCGTTATGGTCAAACAATAAAAGAGCCGGGCCCAATATGCAACCGGGCAACATAGATCCCAGTATGGCCCAGTATGGTTTGACAATGAAATGTCTGGAACTTGCAGCGGCCTGAAGCTGAAGACGTTGAGGACTAGGAGGATGAGCCTGAGTATGTTGTGGACCTAGAACTAGAGTATACAAGTCAATATCCCCAGAACCTTGGCTGTGGCATTCCGCACGGGCAGGAGGAAGTGTAACGGAATCCACACTTAAAGTTTTCACGCGTTGGGGACGTGTGACGGATTGACGGCGGCAGCGGCGGCAGTGCCACCATGAGTCGTATCCTTCCTTTCTCCCTACCTCATCTAAACGGTCACGGTCGTTGGAATCAACGAACGCTACGACGCCATGAGTATTCTGGAAGTAGTGCCGCCAAAGGGGCCTTATCTTGTCACAGCCGCCCACATCTGGGGGAAGTTTCCCAGTGTCGGTCAGGGCCGATGACCAGGTAATAGGACAGGGCATTGGTGTTCAGGTGATTTTGAGAGCGAGAAGTAGAAGCGAGACCGCCGTGGGAATCGATACATGCGGAGGGCTGCATGTATGAGTTTGGGGAGGAAGAATTCGGACTGTGCGGATGCGTGACGGCGGTACGGACTGTAACATGCACACCCAGACGGCTGGAAAGGCACTTGGTCCGTGCCGTGCAGCATTTCAATAGAATGCAACCACTGGATGGCAGTGGGACCGAAGAGAGCTATCGTTGTTTGGGAGGGGGATTAGCACGGCAGGTCGGGGGTAAGGGCGCGGAACATGCGTGTGTTTTGGGGTTTCCTTAGGTGTGCGGACAAGGGCTGACGTGTGCTGCCTTCCAGCTATGTGCAGGCTGAACTAATGATGCCAAAAAAGCAAAGCGCCTTTGCTTGGCCAACTGTAGATTCAGCTGTGTTATGTTGAGGTGTTAAAATGGGCCTTACTGGGCTTCACACATTGTGCTTATGTTCTACCCGGGGGTTGGCATCAACCCCACGCACCCCAGATCGTCATAGCGCAGCCCGCGTGCTTGATTGTTTCAACATTGAAGCCAATTGTTGGTATAGTGGTGACTACTTCTTGCAAAAGCTTATAATACAGCCATGACGTTCGTCCACATGCGTCCAAGCCCACGCACAGCAAGCGACCTTCTGGGCTCGGGAATAATTTCTCCAGAAGACCTGCCACGAAAGATGACATTTAGACTTCAAATGTACAGCTTTGTAATCGAAGCCCGCAGGAACGAAACTTCCAGCCGTAACAGTCATAGATGACTATACAGACAGGCCTACTGACAGTATATTGTTACTGTTATGGACGTCATGCAACAAAATGAGGTTAGGTCCCAATCCGTTAGGGAAACTGTACGCCGTACACACTGAAAGCTGAATCATTGCTTAGGGTGGACCCCCGACTAATTAATCTATCCATCTCCCAAATAGGACTCGTTTACTGAAGACGTAACCCATCTCAATTCCATTTGTGTTGCGTGCGGCGTCCGTATGCTTGCAGAAGGAAAAAGTCCTGCCATCTAAGGGCGTTGCTGTCTTCCGTAGAAGCCCGAACAATAACAAATGTCACACCACAGCTCTAGATTACGTACAGGGATACCTACGACCTCTCGTTGGAGATCCCATCCCAACATACCTCCTTTTACTGCAAGTCCACAGCCGCCGACTCGTAACACGCAATGCAGAGCTCTGCTCGGACTAGACAGGCTTTTCAAGGGGTAAGTTACCGCTCCTCTCCCATCTTCCTGCCCAGCTTCCCCAACTGCACGCTGCTAACCAACTTCTTGCAAGGGGACATCCCATGCTTCCCTCCAGCTAGACCTGTTGCTCGGTCAGGTCTCCTTATCCGTCCATCCATGACCCTTCCCCATGACCTAACACCCGCACTGCTTATCTCACAAGGCAGCACTTTGTTCCTCACCCGCCCCCTTCTCGCTCCGAAACCCGCATCATTAACAGCAGCCGATCGAGTGCACCGTCACAGCAGCAGCCTCTGTTCGATGTAGACGGACCAGATTTGGAGCCCGAGTTCCAGTCCTGGCTCCGAAGTGAAGGCCTATCCACGCAGCCGGTGGGAGGGGGTTGGCGGCTAAGGTTTGGGCCTAAAGATCTAGGGCCCTCCTAGGTGCAGAGGTGAAGGCAGTAGCAGCAGCAGCAGCAGCAGCAGCAGCAGCAGCAGAAAAACAACAAAAAATAACAGTAGCAGCAGTAACAACAACCTCAAACGGATCCGCAGCTCCGGGTGGTCAACCTGTTGGTTTCCATCCCCGCCTCTCTACTACCGACCCATGGGACGGACGCCAGAAGCTTCCCCACATGGCGCTCGGTTCATGGGGTTGTTGTCCTTGTATGGGCCTCATGTCTTCAGGTTGGGGTTCGGGTTTCACTCCATTTGACAGCTCCGTTCTGGGGCCTCGACATCCCCATCCCGCCACCCCACCCACCCCACCCCATCCCATCCCATCCCATCCCATCCCGTCCCATCCCATCCATTGTTTTCCCCTTTTCCCCTCCTGGCGGCGGTGTCCCCTTCTTGCGCCCTAACCACCGGCGGTTGGAGATCCCCCAAGCAATCACCACCCAACATAACCACCAATGCAACCACCAACACAACCTTCTCACTTGCACGCGTCATGTGTTTCGTTGTGTGCGCTGCCGCCTGCGATCACATTTGCTGCCACCCCTCTTGTTTCACTTCCCTGCCCTTTCGGTGTTTGATGTTTCCCGATTCCCTCCGCGACCTCCTCCTCTCCTCCCCCCGGTCCTACCTCGCTCCAGCTCCTGTTACGACATTGCGGTCGGGAGGGTCGCGGCCTGGTGGCCAGCCGCTCCCTCAGCCGTGGGGAGGTGCTCGTCAAGCTGCCGGACCACTTGGTGATCACCGCGGAGCGCGCGGCGGGAGGTGGGGCCCGGTATGGCTGGGGAGCGGGAAGGAAAAGGGCGATTTAGTGGTCAAGGACCCGTGGGTCGTTCAGTCGCCCGCTCTGCGTGAAGGTCTCCGGTACCGGGCCACATCCCTCTGATGATGAAGCCGCCGCTGCTGCTGCTGCTGCTGCTGTTGTTGTTGTTGCTGCTGCTGCTGGCAGCATGCCATGCATGGCCTCTGGGTCTGCGGGCTTGGCGGCACCGGCGTGTGCACCACCACGGTGTGTGCGTGTGTGTGTATTGGCACTAGCACCCGACGTTGTACCATACCCGCTGGTCCTGGCATGTGGCGGTGGCTGTTCCGCCCCGTGGGCGCCTGGTTTGCCAGCGTCTCCTGGCCCCCTGCCTCCTTATCATTTCTTTCTCTAAGTACGGCATTGTATACGTCAATATTGCATCATCACTGAGTTGTCACCGCATAATGCGATGCTATCTAAACCCGCACCAACTCCCCCCGCATGAGCGCCCGCAGAGGTGTGTATGGCGCCGCTGCTACGCAACCTGACACCATCCTCCTCCTCCTCCTCGGTCTGGGCTTCATCATTACCTGCAAGCGCTACCGGCAAGGTCGGCAGTAGCAGCAGTTCCGCTGCCGCTACCTCCCCACCCTCGCTACTGCCCCTGCCTGAGTGGAGCCTCCTGGCGCTACTGCTAGCGGAAGTGAAGGGGCGGCTGGCGGCGGGCGACCGCTCCTCCCCTGCCGCCGCGCGCTGGGGCCCCTACGTGGCGGTGCTGCCACAGCGGCCCGGGACGCTGCTGGACTGGCCAGCCAAGGAGGTACGGCATATAGGCGACGTACGTCGGAAGTGAACACACGGTGTGTGTGTTTTGTCTCCCCCGTACAAGCTGTGTGGAGAGCTGCGGGCTGGCGCTGCACCCCACTGTGGCGCTACCCCCTGCCTGCTTCCCCCCACACGTGTATTTCCTTCCTCCACTTCCCCCCACTCTCCACTAACCCCCCACTCTCCACCCCCCCCCACTCTCCACTCCCCCCTACACTCCACCCCGACACCTCACCCATATACACATAGCGCATATGGTTTAGCGTCACCAGCAGCCCTTCTCGCGGTGCTCAGTTTGTGAAGCACATCATACACACGTCACGCCCTCCCTCCTTCCCTCCCTCCCTCCCTCCCTCCCTTCCAGGTCCAGCAGCTTCTCCGCGGCTCCCCCCTGCAGCGGTTGGCTGACTCCATCACCTCGGCCGCCAGCGCCTCCTGGCGGGAGCTGGAGCCCCTAATTGCCCAGGGCAGGGCGGACGGCCTGGTGCCCGAACACGTACCCCTCTCCAAGGTAGGTGGGCTCCTTAGGTGGCGTTGGGGCTGGGGTACACTCTGGGAGCTGGGGTTTGGGGACTGGGGGTTGAAGGGGGCTGGGAGACCGTTGCCGGGCGGGGCGCTGCTCGCGCCGTGCGTCTCAGCCGCCTCTCTGTGTGCCTGAACCCCAGAGACTGTTCGTCATTAGGGTTCATGGCTCGTTCTCTCTCTCTCTTTGTGTGTGTGTGTGTGTGTGTGTGTGGCTGAGAGTTATAGCGTCGGGCAAGGCGTCGCCCTTAACCTTGTTAAGGGATCGGTCTCACCGACCCGCGGGTCTCGTTTTTGTCCTCCCCACTGCGGCCATCACTCCGCGATACAGCAGATCAACCCCGGGGGGGAGATCCCCCTGATGGCAGGGGACCCTCTTGCTCCAAGCTCCCTCCCACGCCCTCCTGCCCCCTCCTGCCATAGGGCGACCTGGAGTGGGCCTTCGGAGTGCTGCTGTCTCGCTGCATCCGACTGCCCAGCCGGGGAGACCTGCAGGTACGTACGTATGTATGTACGTCTCTAGCGACACCAGCAGCAACACCTGCAGCAGCATCTATTTACTAGCCGCCTCCGCCGCCCCAACTCCTTTCTGTTACACATTCGCCACCCCCAATCACCTCGAAATACGGACCCGACACCCCCACACAACAACCCCAGAGTTTCTCCTCACCCTTCTACCCGCCTTCCTCCCGCCCTCCCCCGCCCTCCCCCGCACGCCAATCACCCCATCCGTGGAGGTGCTGGCCCCGTGGGCGGATCAACTGAACCATGACGTGTCTGCGGAGGAGGGCTGCCACCTGGATTGGAGCTGGGACGTCGCGGGCCCCGCGGTGCCGGGTGGAGACCGCGCAGGAGGGGCCACCAAGGGGGCGCTGGTGCTGCGGGCGGACCGCCCGTACGCGGCAGGGCAACAAGTGTGTGAGTGGCGGGTGTGTGTGGTGAGGCGGAGGGGATGGAGAAGGGGAGTGCTTACCTGGTCCGGATGCGACTTGAGCCAATGGGCTGAGGGCTAGTTCGATGCATGGATTCCAAACAGGGTATTTGAACCCTGTTTAGATCCAGACACAAACCCATTCAACACACAAGCCTCCCACCCCAAGAGCCAGATCAGGCCGGGATGGAGAGGAATTTATTGCTTCGTGTCTCAGGCTCAGTGCGCGAACTCGCGTGGCGGAGCCCTTGAGTTGTGAGAGCGACGCCACCTCCCCCAACACCCCCCGGGGGGAGGAGAGCGGAGCTAGCGGACTTGCTGCTCTCGGCTGCTTAGGAGGGGGCAGAGGCCCCTCACGCCCCTCTCCCGTCCGCTTAGGGAGAGAGCTTAGGCAGTCTTTCCGTTGGGGCTGGGCAGCAGGCCCTGTGGCCAGTGTCCTCAGGCCCGGTCAGATACTTGTAACCTTCACACAAACAAACTCACATGCAACACACACGAGCATACAAAACACACACACTTATACACGCACCTCTTATGGATCGCTTCGGCCTCCACTTCTGATGCCATGTTCCCCGGAGTGCGCCCCCCCCCCGGGGCCGGGGATCATCACCTGATGCTGCCCCGGCCCCACCTTAGCTTTCCACGGCTTGGCCCCGCCCACCCCACCAACCTCCAAAACCATGCGCGCGCGCGCGAGAGAGAGAGAGCCAGCCTGTTTCCTCCCGGCACCTCTTTCTTAGGGCCCAGTCGTTTCCTAGGGCCCGGTCCAGCCGGACAGAAACCCCCAAAGCCCTCCCCGACACAAACCACACCTTTGTGGATGCGCATGTACGCAGATGTGTCGTACGGCCCCAAGAGCAGCGGTGAGCTGCTTCTTAGCTACGGCTTCTGCCCCCCCCCGGCCAGCAACCCGCACCAGGACTGCAGGCTCAGGGTGGCAGTGGACCGCCAGGGCGACCCGCTGGCGGACCTCAAGGAGCAGGCCTTGGCCCGACACGGTACGACATGTGTGACGTGTCTGAACGTCATTGAGATTTTTACACCTACAGCCTAGCCTAGCTCTGTTATTTGTAAAGGTTATAGCCGTGGCGCCACATCTGCACATTGCGGTTTCGGAGTTGGGTCTTGCTGTATTTTGTAAGATGTTGCGTTGTTTGCATGGTGTTGACTGACGTGTGGCCGTAGGTCTTCCCTCGGAGCTCGAGTTTCCTTTGAAGTTGGAAGGTATTCCGGAGGGGCTGTTGCAGTACCTGGCTTTCCTGGATGCCCGACCAAAAGTAGCGCAGGTGGGACTGGGACTCGATCTGGGGATGCCGTGGGGTGGCTTGCGGTGCCATGGATTTCTACTCTGCCCTGTTCTCCATGTTTTCTTTTTTTTACAAGCAATCTAACTACAAGCAATTTCATTTCACAATACAAACCCTGTTTGAAGCTTTTCATAAACCGCCTTTCAGGAGACGTTCGAATTGGCATCTGTCCTGTTTGAGAGCGGCGGCTTTCCCCTTCTGGACGGACAAGACACGCTGGTGCTAGCGCTGAGGGGGCTCAGCAACAGATGTACGGCAGCCCTCAAAGGTACGCCAGCAGTCGGCAGGCGCCGGGGCCCGGGTTACCTGTCAGTCTGCATGTCAGTCTGTCTGTTTGCCTGTCGAGCTAGGCTCTGCCGGTGGGCTGATGCTCCCCGGGGGGTTTAGTGGAGGCTGCGGTTTGGCCGCTCAGCTGCTGCCCTTGCTGCTGCTACTGTTGCTGCTGTTGTTGCTGTTGTTGCTGTTGCTGTTGTTATTGTTGTTGTTGTTGATGATGCTCTCTGCAAGCTGCCAAACACAAACTGCCGTCCAACTCCCAGTCAACGAACTAAACCAACCGGCCAAGCAACCCCACCACATTCTCTTCGCCCGTCGTTTCTCCTCTTTGCCAGCCTATCCAACCTCTATGGAGGCGGACCAGGCGCTAGCAGCAGGAGCTTTAGCCGCTGTCACCAACCGCCAACAACAACAAGAACAACAGCGACGGGCCCGTGCACCCGCCCGGGCCCGGAACTACCTCACCGCCGAGTCCCCCCCGGCAGCGTCGCCTTCGCTCTCATCCCCGGATGCTCCCCCCCTGGAGCTGACCCTGGGAACGGAGGACGTGTTCGTCAGCTCGGTGCTGCGGTCCGCGGCAGTGGCCTCGATCCGGGTACGTGAGCGGCAGATCGTGCAGCGCACATTGGCGGCGGTCAGTGGGCAGCTGGTGGAGGCGAAGCGCGCGGCAGGCAGGTCGCGGCGGCGGTGACCCTAAGTCCCTGTGGTTTGTGAGGGAGGCCAGGAGGAGGAGGTGGTAGAGAGGGGATGTGCGAGAGGGAGGATATGCAGGCGGAGGATGTGCGGCGAGGGAGGGAGGGAGGGAGGGCGGGAAGGGCAGTACGACGGCGGTTGGGTTGCGGAGCACCTGGATGGTGAGTTCTGATGAGAGGGAGTGTCGCAGTGGATTGGGCTTAGGGTGTTTAATGGCGTCCCGTGCTTGGTGGTATTCTAGTGCGGGGTGGAGGCGTCCGGGGGACAAGAATGTGGCCAAGACGGGTGGACGTCCTGGTGGCACGGTTCTACAGTTCTAGTGCTTGGCGCTGTAACTGTTGATGGTGATGGCATGGTGGGAGGGTGATCGGGTTCAAGTGGGGATTGAATTCGGAGGTGGTGGAGGACGAGGTCAATAATGGAACTTTTGAAGACGGCCTCGAGGAGGAGGGATGAGTGTCAAGGAAGAGGTGTGGAAGAAGCCGGCGGCCGTACGGCACGAATCGCTTTTCTCGTCCACCCTTATTTTTTTCTGTTCTCTGCCCGAGTACCTGTTTACACCCTGGTTTGTGTCTTTATTTGTAATAATAAAAAACTGACTCACCTGATCAATCCTTCAAGCCTGAACTGCTGGGCTGTAATCATTTCAAGTATACCTTTCAGCCAATCATTTTAAGTGTGTGGAAGCCATGATCACCTCCAAATTCACCTATAACTTATGGATATGCGGAGCAGACATCTGGTGGATGTTGCGCAACCAGCTCAAACGCGTCGGCGCCATGTTGGATAGACCGAGAACAGAACATTACAACGTTGCTCATTCCATTCTGCAACCGCCCTCCCCCGTGCATAATCCTCCCCTCCCCTCTGCTCTCATCTCCTCCCCAATCCCCCTCTTTCCATATGAACATCCCCCCTTTTCCACACACGCACGCCCCACGGAAGGTCTGGGTATGGTGTAAAAACTTGCTAGCCATGGGGCTCGAACAGGTCTTGAGGGCTCACACAGGGCGCGGACAGCACTGCTCGAGGGGGGGACGGGGAGCCCCGAGGGCTATCAGCCGTCCCGGGGGGTTCTCTCCTCTTTATCCCCCCCCTCCCGATCACTCCAGGACGGAGAGTTGGGTTCCAGAATAAAAACACACACGCCGAAACAACAGAGGAGGAAGTACGTGACCCGGGCGTCGGCACATATCAGTTTTCAGAAATTTCTCGACGACTTGTCCTCTCCTTTCCCTTCCTCCCGTACCTCAACCCCCTCCTCCTCTTCCTCTTCCTCATCATCATTAGCATCATCAGCTGATGTCGATTCCCGGCAGGAAGCTGCTGCAATACAGCTTACAACTTTCCGCAGTGCTCTCCTCTCTCTCTCCAGTGCCACAATAAATGCCCCACAACTGGCCCTACGACATGCTATTCCTTAGTCGGCCCTGAACAGTGAGCATCCAAAAACATCACGTGCATGTGCACCAGACGGTACCCAGTCCGGCCACGTGCACATGTACAACACCTACAACCGTCAGACCAACTCCTACCCGCGGAACCTAATAACGCCCACTTCCTCTTTCCACCCCCCAACAGCCTCCAGACATGCACCCAGCTAGACCAGTATGCTATATACACACACACACACACAGCTCTTCCAGACGCTAGTCCGCCTCCCTTCCCCGCTCCCCCCCCCCATTCCGTGGACCGTCACCTTCCTTTCTGACCCCCCCCCCTTCGCGGCGCACATAGGGCTCCTAACTCGACATCACCGTTCCTCGGGCTGCTCAGGACCCCCCTTGGAGCTCAATCCCACCTCCGTCTCCGCTCCCGGGCCCCGGATCACCGCCTGCCCCCGCTCAGCCCGCCTCGCCCCGTCCGCGACCGCCACCGAGCCGCTGGCCAGTCCCGTCCCCGGGTCTGTCACTACAGGGATGGCGCCGTGGGAGTAGTCCGGGGAGGGGGGCACGTAGGTGGAGTCCGAGGGGGCGCCCGTGTGGAGGTCGGCAGCGGCGGAGGCGGAGGAGGCGGCGAAGGAGGAGGCGGAGGAGGGGATGGTGTCGCTTGTGAAGAACTCGGGTAGGTCCTGGATGGCGCCTGTGGGGGTGTGGGGTGTGGGGTGTGGGGTTGGGTGGGTGGTTGGGTGGTCGGGTCGGTAGCAGGGCGAGAGAGGAGCCGAGGAAGGGGGAAGGGGTCTTCGCTTGTGAACCGAGGTGCACTCCAAACCCCGCGACATGTCGAGTGCGTATGGGCGTGTGGGCGCTTGCACCAATGCGTGGAGGGAGCCGCAAAAGAATGGAATGGAATGGAATGGAATGGAATGGAATGGACCACCGCGGTGTCAAAAGCCACCACAACTTTACCAGGGGCGCATGTTTTCATGCAAACATGCCGGTCATCTCGGTTATGTCCCCTATCTGCCTCTCTGCCCTGGGCCACCCCCCTAGTCAGATATGGACCCCCAGACCCCCTTTTCCCCTCCACCATCATCAAGCTGCCGCTCACCGCTGCGGTGCATGTCTTTCTGTCAAGCACTGTCCCCGCACACCCACATCCACATCCACATCCACCCAACCCCACCACCACCACCACCACCTACCTTGCCTGCCTTTCTCCACCTCCTCCTCCTCCCGTGTCACGCGGAACTCCTCCTCCACCAGGTCCGGCAGTCGACCCGTCACGTGAGGCATGTCGCCAGTGCCCGGCTCGTCCTCTATATGTGCGAGTACGTATGTATGTACTATGAGTGTGTGTTACATGTATATATATGTTGTATCTATATGTCGTATGTTATGTATATGTGTGTTGGCAAGGAGAACAGGTAGAGACCGGGGATGGGAACGTGGGCGACTAGACAGACATGCCAGTGCGAGTTGAGGTAGTCGTACGGGGCCCGGGCCCATGCTGCTAGCCGCGCGGGACGGAGGAGGCGGCGGAGGCGGAGGCGTCGTTGGAGGCGGAGGCGGAGGCGGAGGCGGAGGCCTCCTATCCCCTGGACAGCTGAATATCTGACCTCCCGGTCCTAACCTGGCAAGGCTCACACGAGCCATCAACGAACACTTACCAGTGATGTCGATATGGCCCTCTGCCGTACGCTGGATCTTGTCGAGCTCGTACAGCGGGTGTTGGCCCATGGCCAGACCTGAAGGGCGCGTGGGTGGGTGGGTTGGGTGGGCGGGTTGAGTAGGTGGGTACGCTGGGCGAGGGTTCAATATGAACTTAAGGTTGTGTACAGGGGTCGGAGCTCCCCGGGGGGGGGGGGAGGGGACTCTGGGGTCCCCCGGGCAAACACCAACCAAGTAAAGTATAGTAATTTCAGCATTTCGCCGATGTAGAGGAATCCGCAAACAGTGGGGGTGTGGCGGTGGCGGTGGCGGTGGTGATTACGGCTAAGCATGGCATATGCTGGGCGGCGACGAGACTCTTGACTAATTTGCAGGCTTGCATGTACGTGTACATGTATACAGCTACCGGTGTAGACCACTACTGCGTTGCCAGCCGTCACAATCTAAATTAAAGGACCGTGTAAAACGATGGAAGGAGTCATTCAGAAATTTCCTCTTCTTCCCGCGGGTTGAGAGAGCTCTTGATTTTTGATAAATAACATTTCGGAAAAGCCGTCTCTCATCTCTCAACCGTTCGCAGACGTGATCTCTCATGGAGACGAGCACGTGCGCCAACAGGTCAACTCAAATTATAGCTTTGCGCAGAGGCAGGGACGGAAGGAAGGATTCGCGGGTCTGTCCACACCAGCAGAAAGCCACGCGCGACTTCTTACGGAGTTAAATTGGTCAGTAAGCAGTAGTTTGAAGGGGGAAGTGTGGTGGTCGAGCTCTTACCCCGGCGTCCAAGGCCCCCGAGGATTTGCGGCAGCTGAACAGCTCCAATGCCCTCGGCCTGGCTGGTTGGCGCGTCGGCGATTGTGGGTGGCAGGCTGCGAAGCGCAGTGGCCTGCAGCCAGGAGCGCTGTCTAGCTGCGGCCTGGCTGATCGCCTTTCCGACCGCGATTACACCGCGCATTGTTATGTATCCGGATTAACAGCGATGGCTCTGCTGTCTTTCGCAAAAAGTAATAACGATATACGTTTTCGTTCGTTGGAGTTTCCTTTCGGAGAAATACTTGGGATCGTGGTTTTATCGTAAGGGTGCTGCCGGGGCCGATGACGACACCCGACGCAACTCCAGTCACATCCCTGCATGTGATTTTGCGATACCCCTGATGCGGTTTTCTTGCGATATGCAATCTGAGCCCCGAAAAGGAGTTAAAGCGTTCAAAACAGCATGTCACCGATGCTTCAGCGGCATTGTATTTTATCAGCTTGCCCGATACTGCCCGTGCGCAAATCTTGCAAGCAAGAGCCCATAAAGTCGGGATTAATTCAAAGTCCAGCCACAGTAAACACGTTACGTTTCATATAGTATACCCACGCAAGTAGGCTCTGCAAATTCGCTCATGTGGCGCCTGTTCCGCCGAGGGGCGCGAAGAAAGCAGCAGGAACAGGAGCAGCTTCTTCGGGAGCAGATCAGACAACAGCTCGAGCAGCAGCAACAACAACTCAGTAGACAACAACGAAAGCTGCCGGACGAGGTGGGACCACAACAACAGCAACAGCAGGAGCCGCAGCGGCACGAGGTCCAAGCCGACCAAGCCCGTAAGTTGCCGGAGCAGGTAATACGCTTTTCGCCTACTGCTGACTCATTCCAAGGCACCCGGCCCTTGGCCCGGCAACATGCTTTCCGGCGGGACCTTTTCCTCCGTCGCCAACAAACGGCATAAAGACCCCAATTTTTCACGGTTGACTTGTTTGACCCAAGCCTTGCTTTCCATTCCCGCCCTTTTGAAAAACACCAAACTGCGTCTCGAACAACAACCTCGAAACGTACCGGCAGCACGAAGACCAGATTCGAGTACAGAAATAGCATCACCGAAAATATTGCCGGAAACACGGGAAGCATCCATTCAGCCCCAGCAGCAGCCAGAGGTCAAGGAGCCGCCCCAGCTGCAGCTGTTCACCACCAGCAGCGGCCGCCAGCTTTGGCGTGCACCCACAGCTGAGCTGCTGTCGCAGCCCCAGCCGCAGCAGCGCGGGACGGATTTGCTGCTCTCCGCTTTCAGCCCAGGTCGCCGCGTGGCACCGGCGCCGCAACCACGCTCGCCAGAGACCCCATCAGCCGGTAAGTGCGTGCGGTGTAAGTTACAGGTTGATTTGTTAAACAAATATTTCCAGGGGGCCATAGTCTTCTGTGCCGTTGGCACATATATTACGCTCGCCACGAGCGGCAATGGCGGTAGCCAGCAGAGCAAACGATGTCAGCGACACAAAGCCGATTAACTTAACCGCGTCCGTACAACTGGCTGCCGTTGTCCCGCTTCCAGTTGTCCGCCGCCAGTTGACCTTCTGCCGCCGCCTATTTTTGCCATCGCTGCAGTAGTAATTGACCGAAGCGCTGCTCTTCCTGCGGCCGCCCAAGTTGCCGCGGAGTGGCTACCGCAGGGGCCGACTTCGCCCATGGCCTCACCAGCGCCGAAACCGCCTCTTGCTACCCCTGCCGAGGCGGCAACGGCCCCGCCGCCCAGCCCCGAAGACATCATAACTATAGACCAGCGGCCGTCGGCACATGCCGCTACTGCTGCCGGCGGCGGCGTTGCCCCTCCGAAAGCTCCAACACAGCCGCCCCAGCCGCAGCCTCACAGCCGGCGTGGGACCCGCGGCGATGTACGGCGGGGCACCGCCGCCGCCGCTATCGCAGCTGGCGAAACGCCCTTTTTGGAGCCACCGCTGCTTCAGCACCCGCTGCTGCTGCCGCCAGGCGATGGTGGCGGCGGTGGCGTCGCGGGGCATCGCGGGGCTAGCCGTGCCAGCAGCATCACGGGCACGGCCGCCGGGGTGCCGTACAGCGGCAAGGTGGATCTGGAGGTCGACGTGGCGGTTGTTGGTGCGGGCGTTACGGGTCTGGCAACAGCCCTAGCGCTCCGACGGGTTTACCCACGTCTGAGGATCAAGGTGGGTGGAGGGTGGAAGGGCGAGGGGGAAGAAAAGGGGGGGGAGCGGAGTGGTGAATCAGACGGAACTGGGATGTCCGTTTTTAGGTAGATAGGTAGAGAGGCAGCGGTGAGGACGGGGGAACGTGCGCGTCAGGGAGACCACCGGGACGCGTGGGAAAACCCACAATCGGGGTTAAGGAGGACACTGGACAGGCACCCGCATGTAGTCGATGCAGTGGCATCAATACGGAGCGTGAAGCTGTTTCGCTTTTGGGGGGGAGGAGGATGCCGAAGACGAACTGGTTTGGTCAAGGACTTGGACTGGTGCGGGTTTCACAACCGGGTGAGGCGCCCTGTCGTGCTGTCGTAGTTGAGGCCGTGACGTCGTAATGCAGATTCAGAGATGTACGCGGCCTGACCGCTCGAAAGGAAAGATGATGGCCTGTTGGAAGCGTCGAAGCGTCGATTTGTCAGTTGAATGAGTCAACTGAGTCGTTGCAAAAATCACACGGGCTAGTGGCCCGAATCTAGTGGTCGGTTACTATGCCGGACGGTGCACGCAAAGTTGTATATATGAAATCGCGTTGTGTTTTTACCTTTCCAGGTGTTTGATCGCCGGTCTGCGCGGCCCGAGGGCAGCCGCAAGTACGGGTCGTACTGTCGGTTGGAGCCTAACGGTCTTCGTGCGGCGGCCGCCATCGACCCGCGGCTTCGCACGGCGATTCTGCAACATGGGTTGCGCGCACGACCTGTGCTTATACACGACACGGACGGTTGGTAACAATGTCCTAGCTGGTGTGGCTGTGGCTGGAGGCGGCTGCATGTTGTTGGGATGTGGTCGATCCGGAATACCGTTGCGGTGAACGCTGCTGTACCCGCTACCAATCCGCTATCCTTAGCAGCTGCTTCTCTCTCGATAATCCATAATCCAGGTCCAGTACGGATAGTGGTGCATGGATTCACAGTTGTACGGCATGGAACTGACGTACACGCTAGCTGGCCTGCACGTTTCATGTCCTGAGATCCCTGAGGGCCCTTTTCGCTCTCGTCGGGTTTGCCGCCCCTGGTGTCTCCTAGCCCCGAAACCATGTACGGCACTTTCCCCTAAGCGCCCGCCCCGTAACCTCTGGGGCTTCCTTGACCCCAAGCCTGGGTCATCCGCAGGCACTAAGGACCATCCCAGTACCGTCCAACTCAATTATGTACAACCCTTGCCGTGCATTGGTCGCAACATGGCGGGTGCCATCGTACAGGTAGCCTGATTACCCGTCTGGAGGAGGGCGGCACGCGATCGATGCGCAGATTTGGGGAGCCGTACATCACCATTGGCTGGTACGAGCTGGAACAGGTACGTACGGCACGTGTGTTGGGCTTTGCCTCCCCCAGTCCTTCAGCATCGGGGGGGTGGGGAGCTGCTCTGAGTGTGCCTCTTCGGCTCAGCTTGAGGATGTCGTACACGTCAATCACAGACACGTGCTTGTTGTCGCTCATTCTCGCGGAGGTTCTTTTACATCGTGTTCTGTCGTCATGGCCGCAAAAGGAGGCTATACCCACCGGTACTTTGCTCCTTCCCGCCGGACGCGAAAACCGAATCAGGGCCGTGATTCGCGGTTCCCGCTCGAGGGAGGGGGACGTTCGTGCGCATCACCTGAAAATTTCCGCCGGTTAGCTCTTAGACCTTCATCCGCCGTGTGTGCTGCACCTGACTCCTCTCCTCTCCTCTCCCCTCAACGCCACCGCTTTACCCCCTATGGCCCCCCCCGATCTGTCCACGAACAGGCGTTATTGTCGCTGCTGCCGCCTGATATCGTACAGTACGGCGCACACTACGTGGGGCATCGGGAGCGAGACGATGGGGCGTACATCTCCTTCCGGTGAGCCGCGGACTTACAACTCGAATATAAAAAAACGAATATAGATGCGTTGGCTTGCCGATTGTCGGGGAAGCGGCACCCACTTCTTTCCCTCCTCTTTCTTTCCTCCGTTCTCCCCTCTCCCCCCTTTCCCGCGACAACCCTGCAGGCGCTCAGGTGCTTCCGCGGCGTCGCGTGCAGGAAGAGAGGACGCCTCTCACCCGCCTAAGCAGCAGCAGAAGCAGCATCCTCACCCCCACGCCTTGGGCGGCTCTGCCACCGCAGCTCCTGCGCTGGTCCGCGCGGGTTTCCTGGTTGCGTGTGATGGACCCTTCTCGGATGTGCGGAAGCGGATGGTGCGCGATGGCGACCCCATGTACGACGTAAGTTACACTGATGTACGCGTACTGTGGGGGTATTGTGGGGGCGCGGGGGACGGGGGGCCCTGGCACATGTGTAGAGACCGCGGCGTTGAGGGACAAGGCAGGCGGGTGCGGGTGTGGCACAAAAGAAGATGTCAAAGTGCGACGAGATCGGGTCCACCCCCTGATACAGGTGGCCCCACAGGGAAATGTACATGGAACATGGACGGCTGTGTAGGTACACCTCGCTTTACCAGAGTTAAGTCTCCCTCGCTATTATGAGGATTTGCAATACCTTCTTCCGCCTATTCACGGTTCCATGCTCAGGGTGTGGTCAAGTGGTTGGGTCGCCTACCCGGCGACGACGTGCCCTCCCTGCCCCTGGACTTCAACGCTGTGTGGCTGTCCCCCGGGCGCACCTTCCTATCGCACTCCCTGGCGGGAGGGGATGTGGCTTGGGAGGCGGTGGCCACGGACCCGGATTTGCGGGAGCTGGGATTCAGGCGGGTCGGGTCGGGAAAGGTTTAGGTTTAGTTCCCCTCGCCTCGCCTGTGCTCGCGTGTGTCTCGGTGTGTGTGTGTGTGTGTGTGTGTGTCATAGGCGGTACAGGGTTTGGGGCCCTGGGGGTTCAGCGTGTGGGTCATTCGGATTTCCTACGGGGGAAGCATTTATAGGTTGCGGTCTGGTAAGTTTAGGACTGAAGTGAAGGAGGGGGAAGAGGGGAGAGGAGGGATGGAGATTCCAAGTGGTGCGGTTGCAGAGGGTTCGCGGTCTGCAAAGGAAAGAAAGAGCTATGCAGCCGCCCTAGAGGTTGCGGGAACGGGGAGACGGTACAAGTTGTTTGAGGAGGGGCACGCGCTTGAGCCGGAATTGCCGCGATTCGCCTGAGCCACTGCACGGTAGTGCCCATAGCCCAGCCTTACGTTAACGCGGCGTTCTGCAGCTCAAGGAGCGTACATCTCCGGCGCAATGGGGCGAACTGAGGCCGCCCTACTGCCATGCATTCTCAACAAAACGTGTACACGGGGTGCGTAAGCGCACGCCTGTGCGTGTTCCGATTGCATCGTCCGATCCGTCGGACCTTATCCATGGCTTATCCGTGTCCAGTCCCCCACTCTGAATGTCTTAACCGCAGGTATAACCTGATCACCAAGCGAGTGGAGCGCCTTCCTCAGGGCGCACCGCGCACAGCATCCCTTCGCAGTTCGAGTGTTCGCCACCCATCCAGTGGCTTTCTGCCGGCAATAGCGGGACTTCCATCGGGAAATAAGTGGGTGCGGGACTTGCGTTGGGTAGATTTGCAAGGGCATAGAATTGTCGAGTACAGGTTTCGCGTCGTGCGCCTTCCGGCGAATCTTGAATTCAAACAGCAAGTCCCAAGCGATTCGCCATCAGCATTTGCTGAAGTATCATCATGTACGCCACGCTAGCTTGTCATCGCTTCGGGAAATGAAGAAGTTAAGATATGCAGTGTGCGAAAAATACGGGAAGTTGACTGTCGGAACAAGACCAAGAAACGGCAGATCTGCGGGAGCTGGTGCGTTGGTTTCTATTTCTACATGTGGAAACACACTTTGCAAATGCCCGCGGAGGCTATATGCGAGATTGTGCTTAGTGTTGCGCTCTGAACGCGCACAGGACAGCTTACTAGATTAAGTGGCCTGACCGGACTTTCGTTCTGGTTGCAAGTAAAAGATGTACCAAAAGGAAAAGCATATTGCATTCTCGGGATGTGATTCAATGCGGTGTGGTGCTTGATACTACCCACCATCGGCCTCACGAAAGACTGCAGATTTTGCCTCAAGGGTGGATTGAAGCTCCACTTCCTTAATTATTTATGCGCTGAGTTGCTTACGTTTCTCATATCTCTTTCGCCTTTTACTAAAGAGATCAGCGAATGCAACTCACATAAGGCGCTTCAATTCAATATTTGTAGCGCATAGCGCTCCCCCAAGAGAAGTTGAGCACTGATTAATGTTGACAAGGTTGCCAAATGCAATGTGCTGGATGAAATGTATAGGTTATTTGGGATTAAAATACTGCAACATGGGTTGTGCATGTAGATATAGGACGACTATATGTGCTCCTAAACTTATGCAGTTTAGGCTTTGCTGTTGGGCACTGGCGGCTAACAGAGCGCGTAAGGGACGGCGTTATATACCTAGGGAGGAGCGAGTATGCCCCTGCTGCGGCACTGATAGCCACATCGAGGATGAGAAACACATTTTGCTGGACTGTCCGGTTTACGACGGAATCAGATCTGATATGGGCTTTCCACGCTTCGAACATATGAAGGACGCTATGAAGTGGGAACCTGAACGCCTGGCAAGAATGCTGGAACGTATATGGTCTCACCGCAACTCTATCGTTCCCTTTGGTCGTTAGTATACTTCATTACTTGTTTCGTTGGAAGTGCGAGGTAGGATGGTGCTTATAGGCGATTTGGCAGCCCTTGAGCCCTCGGCTCGTACTAGGGTGGTTTGCAGGTACGGGGAACGCACCCACGACCATGTAACAACAACAACAACAACAACAAAAAATATGTGCTCCATCTGTAGGGTTCCGATGGAACAAGAACTAAAGCGTTTTATCAAGATCCCCAAAGCCAGCGCCATGCAGATCAGGCAACGGCAGCCTAACTTTCATTTAAAAAAACGTGCTGAAATATCCAGTTAACAGCATGAGCTACATAGGGTGCTAATCCTGTTAACAATAGCAAAGCGCCAGACCCCCTCGGGTCCTAGTACTGCTCTCATATTTCATTTGTGTATGAGTGTCGATCATATTCTAACAATTCCGTCCCCCCCGCCCAAGTCCCCTAGCCTGCCTGCTTCGGCACACCCACCATATGCGCCTTGCAAGACATACAAAGACCCTCACGGATGCGTAATCCCGTGATGCACGTGCACGTGCCTTCTAATGCACAGGCCCTCCGCAGCCGGCCGACGAACGTTGTACACCTCTTTGGAAGATGACGCCCGACAGCAATTCAGTGGTAGCGGCACCACCCGACATCATGGCACTGCCACGGACGCCGTCACTGCGACGCAAGCGCCGGCGGCGCCCGACTCAGCCACCGGTGAACTGCCGTTCGACGCAGTTTCTGCGGCAGCAGCGGCCGCATCCCTTCCCGCCGCTGACGTCAGCTACCTCGACAGTGACGAGCTGCGGAGTGACGACGAGGCGGCGGACGGGGAGGGCTATGGGGAGGCCAGCGAGGGCGAGGAGGGGGAGGAGGACGCCCGGGGGTCAGGCGAGGTGCTGCAGGTAGGTGTGGAAAGGCGGTTGGAAAGGGTATAGCGGTGGGTGTAGCGTGGTGGAATCTGGACGAGGACCAGACGATGACGGCCGTTGGGGTCAGGGGTGTCATTTCCTGCTGCCTTGCCAGGAAAGGAGTACTCGCGAGTTGATGCCACGGGCCAGCACCAGCCGGGATATATTCCCCGTACATTCCCAGTACGGGGTCCTGATGCAGACCGTCGGGTGGTAGGCACCAACAAGCAATGACCACCTGTGTTGAGGTAATGCGCGTGCCTCTCAGCAAAGCCGTGCAGGACGGAACAGCGGACGGATCGCAACCGGCTGAGCTCCTCTTGCTACCCCCGCGGCTGCTATCACTGCTGGGCCCCGTCCCCGCAGAAGCTGCTGGCGCTGTTCACGGACTTCCCCCCCGAGGTCCGTGCCATGCTGCGCAACACCCGGCCCTCTGCAGTGGTGGAGGCGGGTGTGTGGGTGCGGCGGGCCAGTGAGCTGCCCTCCGCGCTGGGTCGCGGGAGGGTGCTGATTCTGGGGGAGGCGGCTCACCCCATGAGGCCCTCCAGCCAGGAGGAGAACCAGGTAGGACATGGGGGAGGGGGGGAGGGGGGGAATGGGGGATGCCGAGTGGTTGATAGCCTGGCATGTGCGCGTCGTACACCCCGCGGGGGCCCCCGTCTATCCGCCTCCACCCAGCTCCCCCCTGCCACCCCTCTCCACAACCCCCCTGCACTCCCCGCGTGCCCTCCCTGCCCCCCAGGCCCTGGAGGACGCCGCGGTCCTGGGCGGGTGTGTGCAGCTACACGGGCTCAACAAAGAGGCCCTAAGGCGCTACGAGGCGGAGAGGAAGCCTCGCTGGCGACATGTGATGCAGGTGGGGGAACACCGCCCCCTCTTACACTCGGCGGGGGGGTTTAAGAGGGGGGAGGTACTGGAGCGGAGGGGGGCGGGAGGGGGAGAGAGGGCGCTCTTCTTCATGGGTTTCCAGGTCAGCTTCAGGAACATCAGCCGTCGTCAAGGTACGACGCCGTGGGAGGTGCGTTGCTAGGGAGAGGGTCCACCACACCACACACCATACACCACACCACAGCGAGGTTGTTGGGTGTGGGTGGCTGGAAGCACCCCGCCAACTAGTAGTGCCTCCTGGACCCCTCGCCCGCCGGGGCCCCCCTCTCTCGTGTTCTCCCGCGCGATCGGTCCCGGAGCTCTTTCTCTGACAGTCGCACCTCGGCACCCCTCGGCACCCCTCGGCACCGAGACTCATGCGCTTCCGCCGCCATCATCCCGGCTCCCCCCCCCCCGACCTCCTGGCCCCCTGCTCCTGGCCCGCAACAGCTGGCCATGGCCGCCAACTCCACCCCCTCCGCCACCAGCTCCGGGCTCAGCCAGGCCCTGCTGGACTACAACACCGCCCTCCACGGCGCCACGTTCCGACGCCTGCATGCGCCGCTGGGCTGGAGGCTGGTGGAGGCGGCCAAGAGGGCGCTGTGGGTCACGGCGTTGGCGGGTAGGTCGTAGGTGGGGACTTAGGGGTGTCATTGCCACATTGCCACATCGGTGTGCTGTGCTGCGGGAACTGGGTCTCGTGACGTGGGGGTGCGGGGGGGAGCAGTGTCCAGACCTTGATGAGACGTGACTTCACATAGCAGCCGGGGGGGGGGTTCGGGGGTGGGGGGTGGGGGTGGGTCATCGGTTGGGTTACTTTTTGCAGGCGTAGGGGGAAGGTGAACTTGAATATTGTTTCGACCCCTCCTTCTCGTCACGGCACCTCACTGAAGATACGACCACCTGTATGGATGGAGGGTCCGCTCACACCGTCATCA